TGTTATATTGCGCTGCTGACTTCTTCTATATTTTGAAGCAGACCCCTTTGTGGATTTTTTAACTGTAATAAATGAATGAATGAATGTATGAATAAAATGTATATTTAAATGAACACTGTTGCCTATTGCTAGAATGCAATGGACTATGGAATAAATACTCAGGAAAAAGGTGCTATTACTGTTATGATACAGGTGTATTATATATTAAGAAAATAGATTTTATATTACTATATTAAGGATCTCGGTGGTCTTTGATCATATATGTAATTTTATATGTTATTTTGATATATGGAATGTATTGCTGTACAGTAGTTTTGTTGTACTGAATATTAAAATTTTGACGATGATGACTATCTGATTATGTATGTATACTTATATGCTATATTGTATTATTGACTTGTTCTATATCTGAGGCAGATGCCTCTATGGATTTTTTTGGAACTATAAATAAATGAATGAATGAATGAATGAAAATATTACTTATGCAGTCTGTGTATTCTCCTTTGTGTTCAAGACAGCAAGGTCAGGTCGGATTAGGGTATATTAGATTATGCACAGTTAAATAACCAGCCCAAATAGCATGAAATTCTGCTTCTAATTACACACTAACCTACACATATTACACAACAACCACTTATATATCAGGGCACTACTGGGACACATTTTATGGGGTTGTGTAGGGCTAGCTTATGTTAAGGTAGTTTTTGATACGTCTGATCTAGTGCATGCAGTTAACCACTGTGTACCATCCTGTGCATTCACACTGACACTCTGGCAGAACTCAAGAGATTTTCTTGTGTTCAGGTGGGTTAGGTTACTTAGGTTAGGTTGTCAGATTAGGTTTGTGAAATAGACCATTGCACACCATGCTGCACATCCACCCTTGTTCATCAGCTGACCACAAACAATTGGCCTGGTTTGAGTTGGGTTAGGTTAGGTTGTCAGATTAAAATTGCACAGTAGATGACAGCACACCATCCTGTCCATCTAACTTCCCATTTCAACAGACCTTCTAGTGACTGGCTTGGGTTTTCTTAGGTTAATTTAAAGTTAGATTTTCACAGAAGGTTGCTACTCATTCATTGTAGTATCGAGTTGCACAATGAAATACTTGAGAAATATTTAAATCATATTAAGCTAAAATTATAATTAGATAAAATTCTCAAAAAAATCTTCCAATTTTAGTCATTGAAATTTGTTTAAAATATGCAAAAATTTATAATAATCTTGTACTCCTCATTTTCTAGAGTCAGCAGCATATTGTGAACAACACATTTTTCTAATATTTTGAATATTTCATACTTCAAGCAGCTTCTAAAATTTAAAACAAATTAATTGTTTGGTAATACCAATCTACCTAATTAGTTATCTTTCCAAAATGTTTGTTCTTACCAAGTTATTGAAAAGTGACATTTAAAAAATTCTGAAGTTTCCTTTTTCTTGAAAATATTCATAAACTCGCCAAAATTTCAGTCTTATATTACCTTAAATTAAAAAAAAAAACTTCTAATCAGAAATGTTCTGTATCTTCCTAAACTTCATTAACTTTCACTTTTCCTACTTTTGCAAATATTCATTCTTTTGAACCCTGACAAATATTTTCATTTGGAAAATATTGGGAACATGGGGAAGGTTCTATACTATACATTTTCAACTTTTATTAAATAATTCTTTAACAGCCACATATGTGATTATCAAAACTGTGAAACATTTTTTGGAAATGAGAATTGTCCACACATGGTAACATGTATCAGCGTGGCTACAGACGGGGTTTGGATTGGTAACTGGATTTAGTGAACAATTTTTCATTTTTACTTTTTTTTAATTCGCTTGGGGGGGGGGGTGGAGTCCAACTGGGTCCACTCGGCACGGCGGCCACTGATTG